CAGCGCCATCATCAGATTTAAAATTCATGATGGCGCTGTTGCCTCGCCGAAACGATATGAACATGTTTATTTCACATTTTGATTGAAACCCAGGAAATAAAAAATATAACAACAATTACACGCAGTCAGGAAAATAAATCAGAACCTAATCCAATCGCTTTCAAAATTCAAACCGCAAAAATAAATTACACCGCACAATGGGAAATAATTCCGCAGGATTGTCGTGTTATTATAACCCCCATATCAGCTTTTACTGCTCCAATATTTGAGGCATTGTGCCTTAAAATTGAGTCGGGAGTCGGTGCCATTATCGGGAATATCCACACACTTTCATCTTCGATGGATTTATATTATATCCAACATCTTTCATATGGATTTCAAATATAAACTTCCCTATACCAAGCGTTCTACGTGCGTCTGAAATTGCTTCTATTGAAATCGATAATAAGAAAGCACTTTAAAACATTGCGTCGCAGCATACATAGCAAAAACTTTTCACCTGCGTATTCACCAAAGTATATTTTAGGTGATATTTGAACATCTTGAATCCGTAGACTATTGTCAACAGTACTCATCAGTAAAACGCTTCCAACTAGCCTCACCCTAAACCTTACCTCCCACAAAATAATCTAAACCCTCTTACCTTTATCATTATCTCGACCATCATTGCAGTTCTGTTCCAACAAAATGCTACAATCCGGTCCGTCCCAACCATTTTCGCAGCGACACTCCCACATCCCGTCCCCATTAAACCGGCATTGCCCATGGGCGGAACAGCTGTTGGGGCAACCTTCAATCGTGCAATGCTTCCCATTCCAGCCCGTCACGCACAAGCATGTCCCATTCTTGCACTGTCCATGCTCGTTGCATCTCGGATCGCATTGCTTCAAGTTGCAATACTCGCCCGACCATCCCCGGCTGCATTGGCATGCTTCCGATACGCAATGGCCGTGATTGCCGCAATCCAAGTCGCAAAGTTCTGCAACAAAGCATTGAGCATGCTGGTTGATGCTTGAAGGCAACGAGCGAACCTTTAGAACAGTCATCGCCGGACCATCTGGGCTCGCACGTACACGTCTGCGAATCCAAGTCGAACGATCCATGTCCGGAACAGTCTGGAAGACATTGGAGCGCCTCTTTGTCCATTTGGGCGCAATCTGCGCCCTTCCAGCCCTTCTTGCAGATGCAGGAACCCTCCAGGCAGTAGCCGTGGCCGGAGCAAGTTGGGTGCGGACAATCGGCTGAATCAAAACAAGAACCCACTTAGTTACACGTAACGCTATTCGTCGTGTGTCATGATGCCCTTTAGAAGCGCAAGTCCAGAGATATTAGTGTGTTAGTGACATGGAGGGCGCAAACTGCTTACCCTCTTCGCAAAACTTCCCCTTGTACCCCCTGATGCAGTTGCATTTGCCATTCGCGCAATGTCCATGCCCGTTGCAATCTGGCACTTCGCATTCATCGTGTCTCAGTTGGCATTCCTTGCCTTTCCAGCCTGGATTGCATTGGCATTCTCCATTGATGTACTCTCCACGTTGGCTGCAGAGCACTGGGCAAACGCCTAGTGAAGGGTCAAAGAACATGAACATGCAAACATACCAAATATCAGTAGGAAATAGAAGGCGGTTTTTTAGTACTGTGGTTGTAGACAAGTTCTATATTGTTGAGGCGGATTCATTTTTTTACAAACTTCTTTTTGGGGATTTCGCCTCAAAAATTTTTGCCTTTAAAAAAGACAGCATTTCCTCACGTCTTTTATTACAGATTGATAAATCGTGCTCCTATTTCGCAATAAGAACTACTATTTATCTTATCTGAATAATAAAGAACCAACAATTAAATTCACTATTTAAGAAGAACAAAATCACCAAATTCCTTTTCTCGACATACTAATTCAGAAAAATTTAGACAATTTCGAAACCTTGGTATATAGAAAACCTACTCATACTAACCGATATTTGAATTTCGACTCAAATCACCCGATAATGGTTAAAAAAAGTATCGTAAAAAGTCTATATGATAG